GAGAGAGAGAGAGAGAGAGAGAGAGAGTCTTGCATTAGTCGAAGAAAGAAATCGAGAAAAGAGAAGAAAGAGAAAGAGTAAAGAGAAAGATCGAAGAAGAAAAAAGAAAGAAGGTAAGGAGAAAGAGAGATGGGTGAAGATCTCGAAGAGCTGAATCGAGAGAACGGTTCGATACGTTTATGGAGAGGTTCGAAGTCGTGGAATAAGGGCCGGGAACATAATTATCCGCCAAGTCAAGGAACCCAAAGAGCCGGAGAGACGCGAGGATAAAGGGGAGGGGGATACCGCTTGACAGAGAGGGGAGGGAGGAGAAAGAAAGAGGATAGGAGAATCGCAAAGAGAATCTTATTCTTCGGTGCGGTTGGAATTTGAAATGTTCAGAGGGCGCATTATCTTCTTGCCACCGCCACTCAGCGCCACTCATGGATTCCGTGATGGTGCGTACACCTTATTTCGATACGCGAGTGTGTACACGTTCCATGCCGTTACAAGTGTGTTACGTTCGAGGAATTAAATTGGATTAGCGTACTTACACGGTGTATTCGTAAGATACACGAACGTTGCTCGGAGTGGCGGTCGATACGCGCGTTTTCTTAACTCGCGATCTTGTCTGATCTTTTGCCGTGATCGATACTTGTTGTTACGAGGATAAATGAATATGAATACGCGACATTGATCAAATTTATCCCTCAAATGGATACACGTTAGCTTTTTTTTTTTATGGAGACAGGATTTTTGAAAAGCAGCTACGAAAGATTATATATTAGAATGTATTATAAAGAATAATATAGTGACTAGAAATAGCGTTTGATCGCAGGATAAGTGAATATATTGTACAGACATTGTATCAAATTTATTTATTTCTTTTTATTTTTAAATTTTGAAAACGATTTATACGAAAGATTGCGTATTAGAACATTTTATAAAGATACGGGCAGGATTAGAAAGAAAGGGAAGGATGGAAAATAGCGTTGGAAAGAAAAGAAACATGGGTTATAAACTGTGGTCAGGTTGGCATCGCGCCATATTCCAAGGTACGTAGCCACTGACTTTTTGCCGTCCCTCAAGCCAAGGTGAGAAATTGAAAAGTGGCTGTCCGCTGGGTAATTAAGATTTCGGCTCTTTGTACCGTACGGAGATCTTGCTCCCCGTTGATTTCGCGCCATCTTTTGGCAAGATCCCCAATCTCGAAGATCGCCTTATATAACGCGTTGTTATTCGTATTCACTTTAACGCTTAAACACTAACTTTAAATTTTTCGTGTTTTTATCGCATAGATGGCATCTTTCTTTGCCAAATTGTATCAATAATTCTTCTTTCCATGAAAGAACAATAAAAAAATCGTATTATAATAATCGTTTAGAGAAAAAAAAAATTCTAATTTTTTTTTCGCGAAATTGAACGATCTGAAAAGATAAAATGTGGAAAAATAGAAAAAAATTCCAGGATAATGTGTTAATTCGAATGGAAAGAGGATAGAGTGACCGGTTGACCCGGTGAACGAATCCGAAGAAAAGATATCGCGGAAAGAGTGGCGATTCCGTAGTGGTAACGAGTCGAGATGGCCGAGAACATCGGCGGTGCCACTTCAAAGCGGGAATCCCGCGCAATCAGATTCTCTTGCCCTCCCTGCTCGCTTGAAAAACCGAGCGAGGGGCTACCAGATCTCTTCGTCTCTTCCTTCTTCTGTCCTCTCTTTAGGCTGGACGTTCGCCAGGATATATCCAGTCGCATCGAGTAACGATCATCTTTGCAACGATTCTCCGTTAACACCATCGTTTTTATCGATTTTTAAAATCAAAATCGAAAGATGAATCGAGCTGGATATATACTAATAGGAATTCAGAAAATTGCAGAAAATTCGAGAAAAAAATTTATTATATACTTTTCTGGACTTATTATTAATTATTATTAATTAAAATTAAAATTTTGAAATGCAACAAGAAAGTTTTAATTTTTTTCCCTTTTCTTTAAAAATATATTTTTCTTTTAATATTTTTCTTTTAATAATAATATGCGAGCAAGAAATAAGAATTCGAATTGGAATCGTATTTGTAAAAGGGTATCGTAAATTAATGAAAATTCAATTAGCGTGTAGATAAAAATATTTATCATCGTAATTTCACAGGTTTCGTAGCACGCAAGTGTCGCATCTTTTTCGTTTTTATCATCGACTCGTGTAACTGTAAGCATGAAACAACATCGTTAATGATGTTATCACGATGCGATTCCCGCGCTTTTTTTTCGATTACTCTCCTCGGCTACGCGTCCGAGAAAATATCGTCGAAGACAGTTACGAGTAATTACAATCTTATAAAATATTGCACCTGTATTAATGCGTAGTAAACGAATACTTTCGTACAATTCGAAACATTTGCATGTCGACGTCGTAAATTCGTAAATCTTAACCCCATCGCCCTTCGTTGTCTCACGAATCTAATAACTTGAGGTATTTTTAATATTTATTAGATGAATATCGTCATTTATCGTCATTTTGTTTTCTCTATTAATTTCAATTCAGAATGATTTACACGACTTTGCCAGTTTTAGAAATACTATACTAATAATATATAATATACTAATGAAAACGCTTTTATAGAAACGAAACGGTAAATTTTACCAATTAAATTTGAGAATCCGCAAGAATCAAAAGCTATTCAATTTTCAAGCAACATTTACAAGTAGTTTTAAAACTTGAAACAAATTTTCCGTCGGTATATAGCTTTTTGAAGGAATTATTTTATAAAGAGAAAGATCTGTATTTTTATAATGCAAGATTCATCACTTTTTACACAACCTAACCTTATCACGTACGTTGTTCCGTTAGAACGAATCTATCTATTCGACTGATTGTTCTAACCTCAAATTGGCGTCAAATTCGAGCCAAATGATGAAAAGTTGTGGTAAATCTACGGCTGGAAAACAATAATACCAGAGATATACGTCGAGTGTACGTTTGTTATGCCTATCTATAAATTCGTTTTAAATCATTGGATTTATGCGCCGTATACTTGTCTGAGGGCATGCTCGTACCCGTGAAAAATTTCGGTCGTTTCAGACGACAGCGTGGATTAATCGTGCGATTAAAGAAGAAATTCGTGCTTACCGATTGAGAAGTTCTGTTTTCATCCCACGATTGTGATTCATTTTATTTATTTGTTTTTTTTTTTACAAATTTGCATGGAGAATTTTCGTCCTTAATTGTCATCACGTAGGATATAGATAAATAGAATAAAAAAAAAGAATGCTACGAACGCTTTATAATTTTGCTGTGAATTAACATATGGCTTGAATAAATGCTTGGATTTCTTTTAAATTGAAAGATTTAATTTCCTTCTCTCCGTTATTCTAATTCAAATTACCGTGATGAGTTGCAGAAAAAGAACGCACCTCAAATTAAAAATACTTTTAATATCCTAATTTTCTCGAGATGCAAAAAAATTACTCGAAATATTTTCAGAAGGAAAATCTCTTCTCTCACAATAATGCAAAGTCCATTCCTAGATGGCGCTTAGAGTTTTTTCATGTTTTTAACTTCTTGTCGATAAAAAATATATATTGAACATCCGCTTTCTCTAAAAATAGATCGTTTTTAAACAGCATACCGTAAGAAATTTTATATTAAAAAGATAAAAGAATTATATACGAAGAATTAATTTAAAATAGAGATACTTTTATGAAATTTTTAAATGTGTTAAATATTTATAGTTACGTGACAATACTAATGCATCACTTTTCCAATAAAAATTTGACGATCAATTTTGAAAATTTCGATCGTGAAAATATTTTTATATAACAAACACGAGATCA